TGATTAGATTCAGTGAGGAGAGGTGTATTTGTTAATGTTCTCATGTTAAATATAAAAAAGCCAGTACATCTGAAGCAAAATTAGCCTAGAAGTTTGGACTTTATTAACTAAGTCAAAACATAAAATGAAATGTTGGAATTCACATTGTGGAAAAAGTATCCTGGAAATAACATAGTAGGCATTTGGGAGCAAGATGAAGAAATATTAAAACTTTCTTGTAGATTTGGCTCTTGTTGGCTTTTAGGGACTGACTGCCAATTTTCTTCTATTTGAATCAGCAAATTTTAGAACATTTTATAGATATTAAAGTTTTTCACATAGCGGTTATTATAGTAATAAATAGGATAGTTAAAATATGTTCTGAGCTAGTATATAGCTATTTTTCTCCTGCCTTTTCTAAGTTGATCAACTGAAACATTGATAGATCTGTTTGTCATACTCTGATGAATAGGTAATCTTGTAGCTTGTCTTAAAAAATTCTCCATCTATGTTATATTGTATCCTGATGAGACATCACCAACATTTAAAGGGATTTTGGTTCTAGTTTTTAGCAATGTGGGAAAATTTTTGGACTGCTCAGTATTGTTTGACTTTTAATGTGATATTGTTTTCAGTTTTCTTGGCTTCGTATTTCTGAAGTTTGTATGAATTGTTCCACAGTTTGAAAAGAACAAGTGATCAGAGAATTAGCCCTCCTTCATTATTACCTTTTAAGGATTTGAAGGCATGTGTAAATTTCTGTGTCCTTGGAATCTTACTTATATTGCCATNTTTAAGGATTTGAAGGCATGTGTAAATTTCTGTGTCCTTGGAATCTTACTTATATTGCCATGTGTTATAACACTACTTTAGCTTTTCTTTTCCAGTGATTTAATTTGCCAGAATAGTGGAACCCCCATACCATGGGCCATTCTTATGTACTCTGGGCCTGATGATTGAGGAGGATGAACAACAGGGATGTCTACACCAATTGCTGCACAGCTCTCTGGCTGGCATGGGGTTTCTTACCATCTATCTTTCTTAGCCTGCAAAATTCAACAGAGGAACAGCAATGGCCAACTGCTAAATCTTGTTATACTGCCAGAAGTCCTCTCTGGGTCCCAAGTTTCCTTAGTTTGTTCTTTCTCTTAGTTGAGGAAATTAAATTTTGCTCGAGAGTTCTCAGAGATGTAGTTGTGGTATGGAAAAAAAAAAAATATAGGGCTTGACATGGGAGGGCATAGTTTTGACATATAGTTATTTAGCCACTTAAATGCTGGTTATATGAAATGATGAAATAATGCTTATCTCACATTGTTTTTGGAATATCTAAATTAAGAAAGGCATATGAAAGTATCCACATGAAAATATCCTTTTCAGGTTATAATTAAAAAGCAGTAATTATCATTTTTTGAGCTCTTGTATTGTGTAGTGTGCTAAGTACATTATGGATAATATCTGGTTTAATTCTCTCAACCCTGCAGAGTAGGTAATATGAACTTCAACACTTGAGGAAGCTCAGAGAAGCCAAATAATATGCCCAAAGTCATACAGCTTCTAAGGGGTAATGTTGAGATTTGAATCCAGTCTGTGTGAAAAGCCTGTACATGTAAAACTATTCTTTTTACAGGAGACGCCAATTGGTAAAAATGGTCATTTCATTTGCATTTTTTTTTTTTTTTTGAGTACTGGGAAGACTGATTTTTCCATTTGTTAATGAGCAGTGTTTTCTATTTGTAATGTGTTTGTGGATGTCCTTTGCTCTTTTATGTGTTGGGATCGTTACTGATTGTCTTACGAATTTGTACAAACTTGTCATGTATTAATCATGTATTCAACCCTTCTCTTTCCCTGACCATACTTGAGACAAGGGGTGACATTCATCTCCAGACCTACAAAATTTTATACTTGGATATGCTTTAATTTCTTTTTTTCTACATAGGTCCTTCACATAGTCATTTTTCTTAGGATCCAGTGCGCCACCGGGCCGGCCCCGGGAGGGCATAGTTTTGACATATAGTTATTTAGCCACTTAAATGCTGGTTATATGAAATGATGAAATAATGCTTATCTCACATTGTTTTTGGAATATCTAAATTAAGAAAGGCATATGAAAGTATCCACATGAAAATATCCTTTTCAGGTTATAATTAAAAAGCAGTAATTATCATTTTTTGAGCTCTTGTATTGTGTAGTGTGCTAAGTACATTATGGATAATATCTGGTTTAATTCTCTCAACCCTGCAGAGTAGGTAATATGAACTTCAACACTTGAGGAAGCTCAGAGAAGCCAAATAATATGCCCAAAGTCATACAGCTTCTAAGGGGTAATGTTGAGATTTGAATCCAGTCTGTGTGAAAAGCCTGTACATGTAAAACTACTCTTTTTACAGGAGACTCCAATTGGTAAAAATGGTCATTTCATTTGCATTTTTTTTTTTTTTTTTGAGTACTGGGAAGACTGATTTTTCCATTTGTTAATGAGCAGTGTTTTCTATTTGTAATGTGTTTGTGGATGTCCTTTGCTCTTTTATGTGTTGGGATCGTTACTGATTGTCTTACGAATTTGTACAAACTTGTCATGTATTAATCATGTATTCAACCCTTCTCTTTCCCTGACCATACTTGAGACAAGGGGTGACATTCATCTCCAGACCTACAAAATTTTATACTTGGATATGCTTTAATTTCTTTTTTTCTACATAGGTCCTTCACATAGTCATTTTTCTTAGGTCTATTCTATAAAATGTATTAAAAGACTTTTGTTGAGAGATATTCCCATATTCTGAGTCTTTTTGCATTAAGAAACAGTGTAATGTAGTAACTACATGAGATAACTTCTTTGTTTTATTAATGTGCAGGTTGAGTAGTTTCAGTTAACTCTTAGATTTCACATCAGGGGAGTGGAGGAAAAGCCCCTAAGAAAAAACAACAACTCTCTCTATAGTTAAACATTCTTAATCATTTTGTTACTTTTAATGTTGATTTTCTACTTGATTACTCTGGGATTGGAATAAACTGTTGATAACAGTCTTGAATATTAGTTCATCAAATTTATTACATGATCATCTTTTGATTATAGTACTCTTTGAAGCAGTCTGATAGGTACCAAGAGAATTGATGGTGCTGTAGAAAATATATCCAATATCTCTCTTCTCACAGCAAAGTTCCTGCATTTGTGAGGATGATTGCTCCTGAGGGCTCCTTGGTGTTTCATGAGAAAGCCTGGAATGCATACCCCTACTGTAGAACAAGTAAGTCTGGTCCCCGCCAACCCTTTCACCCCTCCACCCCAAGGATGAGGAGAGGGACTCCCAGTGCTGACGCCTTTGAGAAGGGTTACTCTGAGCAAGGCCTTCTGTGGGTTCTTGGATAGTCACTGCCTGAGTGGTGACAGAGGAGAAGCTGTATTGGGTTCCTCCCCCAGATCTTTGTGAAGGGCACAAGTTCATTCCCAGATGACAGCCACATTGGGGTCCTTGCTGATTCCAACAGAGAGCAAATGAAAGGAAAGCAGAAATCTTAAAGGTCATCCATACTTGTGTAGTTTCAACAGTATTTTACCTGTATTGCCACATCATAGAGGAGGAATGCGACAGACTTCTGAAATAGCTTCTTATCATTTGTTAAATTAATCTTATAAGTAATGCTTTGCTTTTGTGACATTATCCTTTTTAGCAATATTTTAAAATTAGATTATTCTTCATATTTTATTTGTACTCCATAATCTAAATTAAAGTCACTTGGATAGAAACTGTTTTGCAGACATTAGCTAGTTAAATGTTCTGTGTTTTGGGGTAGTTTAGTCTTTGCAACATTATTAAGACAGATTGTTTTCACTTCAATTAATATTCTGAAATTTTTCCCCTTTTGTTGCCTGCCTCTCCATTATGCCTCAGTTGTAACGGTGAGTAATTCTATTTTTGTGTCATATAACTCTTCATCTTAAAACTTTGCTTTACATAGTAATTATTTTTAGCCATTCTTCGCTTTTTTTATTAAAACTGTTAATTGCTGCATGGCTCCTCCTGTGTGCTCCTTCCACCAGCCCACATTCCACCACATGTTCTCTCTGTTAATGGGCTCTTTCCAGCTTTGTCTCAGAATCTCCCTATTGGTTTTATTTTGCTTTTGCTACTTCCTTCAAATGCAATATTTGCTTACCAAACCTCACAGCTTCTTTATTAGCCCTGTGTGCTGCATGACGGTAGGATTGTTTAGATTATTTAAAAGCATGCAGCATTTGGTTTGCCTGACATGTATATAAAAATTGGTAGCTAATAGGGCCGGCCCCATGGCTCACTTGGGAGAGTGCGGCGCTGGTAGCGCCGAGGGTGCAGGTTCAGATCTTATATAGGGATGGCTGGCGTGCTCATTGGCTGAGCATGGTGCGGATGACACCATGCCGAGGGTTGCGATCCCCTTACCCAAAAAAAAAAAAAAAGTTGGTAGCTAATGATTCTTTGTCACGTGAGGATCAGTCTGCTTATATAGTGAAAGCATGGATGCTTATGCTTGGAAAGGCTTCTTCAGACATGAGCCCCAAAGAACCTGTGAAAGATCACTATCATGGGCCGGCCCGGTGGCGCACTGCTATAGTGCTCCGCTTGGGAAGCGCGGTGGCACTCCCGCTGAGGGTTCGGATCCCACATACAGACCGGCCGCTCACTGGCTGAGCGAGGGGCGGGAGCAACACCGAGGGTTGCGATCCCGTGGCCGGTCCCGGTCCGGTACGGGCGCAACACTGAGGGTTGCGATCCGTTGCCGGGCACGAAAAAAGACAAAAAGGAAAAAAAAAAAAAAGATCACTATCATTTTCCTGTTGTGTTTTCTGCAGAATGAATATATGAAAGATGATTTCTTCATTAAAATTGAAACATGGCACAAACCAGACTTGGGGACGTTAGAAAATGTAAGTTTCAATTCTGCACTTTCAGTGCAGAAGCCCCTGGAAACAGGAATACTGTATGTAATCCATTTGCCATCACCAAAGTGTCAGACTAGTACCTGGCCACACCAGGCTGTGTCAAATTGAGGTGAGGCAGACAAGCAACCAGTAACCCAAATGCGTTTTCCCTATCAGTCCCCTTTCCTTGGCACTTGAGTAGACTTTGGTAAAGTTGCTGTTTTTGTCAGCAACTGTCTTTATCTGGGACAGGGAGAGCATGGATAAACAAAATTCACATATAATCCACAGCTCAATTAAAGCCATTGGTTTTAGATTGCTTTCATTGCTGTGTATTTGCCAGAGCTGCTCTACATAGCAGAATTGATTGCTTTAATTTTCACCTCCACCCCAATTTTCTGGGATATGGGTTGACATCAGAGAGATGACCAAAAGGCAGGAGAGAGAGAAGGTACTTTGAGTAACTTACAAAAGTGTTGACAAGCTCCTGACTTACATTATTATAAGTTGGTGCTCATTTATCTCTAACGTAGGTTTCCAGAGTGGCAGTTAGGACTCAAACATAGTCATTAACTGTTGGTAAGGTTTGTCATAGAACTTGTGAGGGCATCTGATATAGTTTGATGCCCTTGACCCAGTGGTTCTCAAAAATGTGGTTGCTGGACCAGCAGCATCTGGGAATTTGTTAGAAGTGCAAATACTCAAGCCCCACCCCAGAGCTACTGAATCAAAATCTCTGGGAGTAGGGCCCAGCAATATCTGTTTTCTGGTGTACACTCCAATTTGAGAACTTCTATTACAACCTTATAATATGCTGTTATAGGAAAATAAGTTAATGATTGTGGTAAATTCTATTCTTATTGTTCTGTTACTGTGCTTTTATGTTATTGGTGCCAGTTAATAAAACTTGAATTTTAATTTGCCATATTTGACTTGAGTTTTCTTTCAAGTGATCATTTGACATTTCATGTTGTTTTTCATAGTAGCTGTCTAAAATTTAGGGTCTAAATGAGGTGATTTGGTATGCTTTAGTCTGTGTATGATTTAATCTGCCATTTTCATCTTTCAAATGGGCCTTTTTCGCAGTTTTTAAACAATTCTTAATTATTTCATTGATGGGGTTTCAGAAATAAATGATTGAACAACATGAAGTATAGAGGAGTTGACATCATACTGAAACTGAATAGCTTTAGGATAAGCAAATTCAGGAAAGGTTTTAGACCACATAGAGCAGCTTCTTGAAATCTAGTTATAATGTCATCTTATGTTTGTGCAGGATTTACAGCTTATAAGGACTTCGTCGTGTATCATTTAGGTTTAATAAACATAGGTTAGATACATTTTGTTATTATATAAAGCGTCTCTAAGTACTACCAGAAAATAATATTGACAGATTTCTGTTCATCTGGCAATGTCCTACCCTCTTTCCCACCCCCCTCACTGCCTTACTGTTTGGGATTATAAGGGGTGACAAGATTTCTAGATCCCTCAAGATTTCAGACAGCTAATTTAATGAAATAGTGATTTGGATTCTATTATTCCCTATAATGTACCTCGAGAGACTCAAGATAAAATTATATAAGTGTAATAGTTTTTCCTAACAAGAATACATTTCAGACAGCTAATTTAATGAAATAGTGATTTGGATTCTATTATTCCCTATAATGTACCTTGAGAGACTCAAGATAAAATTATATAAGTGTAATAGTTTTTCCTAACAAGAATAATCTATAGTTTCTTTCATTCCTCTTTGTCATTTATAGGTACACGGTTTAGATCCAAACACATGGAAAACTGTTGAAATTGTTCACATAGATATTGCAGATCGAAGTCAAGTTGAACCAGCAGTAAGTACTACTCAATGACATTTTAACTTGTCACCTTTTACATCTAAAAATTGTTTTCTTTCTTTCTTGTATGGCCTGTATTTCTACATTGAAATTTCTTAAGATATGTAGGTGTGTGCTTTCATTGGGGGAAAAAAACACATTGTTTACAAAAGAATTCTCCCTTGAGTTTTTTAAAATAATATGGGTTTCTTGCATTTTTCAAATGTGATTAAGAAAACAAAAATTTAATTTACACAAAAGTTTTCAGTAACTCAGCTAGGGCAAAAGTTGTTATTTGTGGGAAATGGTTGATGTAGAATATCTTAATTTAGCAGCTGTTTAGCTTTCTATTTTATTCTTATTGGATGTAAATATTTGTACTCCAGGCTTATGACTTAATAAAAAGGTTTTGTTTTTTTCTCACAAATAAACCCCTATGTCAAATTAAGACCCTCATCTCATTTTGTGATTATTAATTCTATTCTTATAGTATGCTGGGTGCTGCTTTGGTTTTGCTGGGCACAGTTGTGGACTTTTTACATGTTAATACCACCAGTAGTCCTCTTCCTGCTAATCTAGACAGTTAAAGCTTTGGAGTAAGAGTAGCACCCCTTGTTTTGTCATAGTCAAGCACAGTGTGTTCAGTCAGCATCCCCTTCCACTTCTATTTTTGGTGCCTATACCCTGAACTCGATGTTGTAAGTTGAACAGAAATAACTCAAACACTAAATGTCTGGTTTTGCTGTTGCTACCTAGAGGTAAACCTTTTAAGACAAAGGACCCTGACCTTTTCTCAGAAATCAGTGAGGCTGGGACTACCAAAAGTGATCCTCTGCCAAACTGGGTCCTCCTTTGCTAGGGCCCCCTCCCTGCTCAGAAGTCTGAGCAATGAGAAAGGACCCTGTTCTAGGAGTTCTTAACTTCGTATCATAGCCACAACTAAAATTTATTTCAATTTTAGGGATATTTCTACTTTTGAAGTTACATGGGGAGTTTTTTTTATCCTTAAAACTGAAAACATATTCAAATGATAAGTCTTGTTTTGCCCTCTTATTTCTCTTGGTATCTTTTCCAGCCATGATTTCCTATATGTGAAAGAATGGTGATAGAAAAAAAAAAATGATTGGGAGTAATGAGTGAATTAATTAATGGCTAGGTCAGGATGGCTTACCATCCTGGAGTAATGGGTCACAATACAGTACTGAGCAGCAGCATAGTATACTGGGATTCGGTGCCCTGGGGAGAGCATTCAGATTATGTCATTGGTGTTTAAAAACTGTGCTGGCCAGACAAAATGGTTCCACTCACCTAGTATTATGGTTCGTAGGTTTGCAGTCCACATTGTTTACCAGCAGAGTGCGAAGCATCTTTGGTTTTCCTGGGGGTATGAAAGTAGTTCTCTGTTCCTGTGTTCAGGAGAAAATGGGCACTGAATCAATGTTTGCAGGCATGAATTGAGTGAAAAGAACAGTGTAAGTCAGATTATGCAAGTTCCCGACAGGCCCTGGCTCCCATTCCTCCACCCCAGTACAGCCTTCAGAGAGGAGAGAAGGCACTGCTGGCCTTGAGGATGCTGACAACAGCACTTGAGATAGGTGCTCTATGTGGAATGCAGTGCACATAAAAGGCTGAGTAGGTGGGTCTCTGTGTGGTTAACACTGTTTGGGTGGATAGGTAGTGAAAGAGTATGGATTGGGCCCAAATGAGGAAGATCTGTATTATGAGGCCACAGAGCTGTGACTAAGAACATAACATTCTGAAACTAGATTGTCTTCAGATTCAAAATCTGAGGCTCTGCCACCTGCTGACTATTTAATCTTGGACAGGTTACTTAATCTTTATGTATTGTCTTGTGGAAAATGAGGCTCATTATTTCATAGGATTAAATGTGACCAATTAGTGCCTAGTTCAATAAATGTTAGCCATTATTGTCATTATTTTACAGTTGTGTAAGAGTTCTAAGAGTTTGCATTCATACCAAGTATAGTTTGGAGAGAAAGCGTTCACCTGTGTATGTGTGGTTTTGTTTCATAGCTCCTGTTTTCCAAGTTATATTTTAGAGATTAGTAAGATATAAATTTATTTTAAAGTTTATTAAATTCACAGTAGCTTTTTTTATTGTGGCAAAATACACATAATATAAAGTTTACCATTTAACCATTTTTAAATGTACAATTCAGTGGCATTTAGTACCTTCACAGTGTTGTACAACCATCACCACCATCTAGCTCCAGAACATTTTCATCACCCCCAAAAGGACATCCTGTACCCACGAACAATCAATCCCCATGCTTCCCCCCTCCCCCCATTCTTTAGCAACCACTAATCAGTTTTCTGTGTCTCAGGATTTACCTATTATGGATATTTAATATAAATAGAATCATATAGTATGTGGCCTGCTGTGTCTGGCTTCTTTCTTTTTTTTAAAATATTTTTTATTTTAATATTTACTTGTACATATTTGTGGGGTACAGTGTGTTGTTTCGATACATGCATATACTGCACAATGATTCACTTAGGGTAGATAGCATAGTTTTGTACTTGTTAATCCGCCGCTTCTCCTCCATTACAACCCCCACCCCCACCCCCCACCCGTCCTGGTCTCTGGTAACCTCTTTACTTCTATGAGAACCATTTAGGGTAGATAGCATAGTTTTGTACTTGTTAATCCGCCGCTTCTCCTCCATTACAACCCCCCCCACCCCCCACCCGTCCTGGTCTCTGGTAACCTCTTTACTTCTATGAGAACCATTTTTTTTTTTAAGAGTTGTTGTTAGTTTAAAATAATCTCTTTATAAATGTTTTTCATAAGCCTCATGATAACCATAACACAAAAACTTTTAAGTTTGATGAATGAGATCATGCAGTATTTGTCTTTTCGTGCCTGACTTATTTCACTTAAGATGATGGTTTCCAGCTCCACCTATGTTGAGGCAAATGATAGGATATAATTTCTTTTTATAGCCAAATAGTATTCCATTGTGTATGTATACTAGTTTTTTAATCCATTCATCTGTTGATGGGCATTTAGGTTGATTCCATCTCTTGGCAATTGTGGATAGTGTTGCAGTGAACATGGGAGGGCAACTGTCTTTTTGATATATTGACTTCATTTCCTTTGGGTATATACCCAGTAGTGAGATAGCTGGGTCATAAGGTAGATCTGTTTTTAATTCTGCATACATCGAGCCACTCTTTTAATTGGGGCATTTAATCTGTTTACATTTAGTTATTACTGATATGTAGGGACTTGTTGCTGCCTGTTTGTTACTTTTTTTCTGTTTGTTTTGTTGATCCTTTTTTCCTTTCCAGTCTTACTGTCATCCTTTGTGATTGAGTGGTTTTCTGTAACAGTGTATTTTAATTCCTTGTTATTTTTAGTGTGTCTCTTATAAGTTTTTGTGTATGGTTACCATGAGGCTTACAAAAAACATAGTTACAACAGATTATTTTAGACTAATAACAACTTAATCTTGATATCTAAGAAAAAATAAAAAACCAAAGCCAACTCCACACTTTGGCATCATTCCCTCTACTTTTTGACAATTTCTTGTTTCAAGTTACATCATTTAATATTGCCTTTCTTTTATATGGTTGCTGTAACCAAAGCCAACTCCACACTTTGGCATCATTCCCTCTACTTTTTGACAATTTCTTGTTTCAGGTTACATCATTTAATATTGCCTTTCTTTTATATGGTTGCTGTATATGTTAGTGTCTTGTTAGGTTTGTCCTTTAGTTTTCATACTAAGGTTGTAAGTGGTTTATTGACCACCCTAAGACATTGGAGTATTCTGAGGTTGTCTGTGAACTTACTTTACTAATGAATTATTTACCTTTAAATGTTTTCTTGTTGCTCCTTAGCATCCCTCTTCAGATTGAAGAGCTGCCTTTAGCATTTCTTGTAATGCAGGTCTAATTTTGGTGAATTCTCTTAGCTTTTGTTTGTCTGGGAAAGACTATTTCTCCCCCATATTTGAAGGTTAATTTTGCTGGATAAAGAATTCTTGGCTGATAGCCTTTTTCCTTTAGCACTCCTCACCATTCTCTTCTGGCCTGTAGAGTTTCTACTGAGAAATCTGAGAAACGTACTGGGGCTCCGTTGAATGTTATGTGTTTCTTTTCTCTTGCTGCTTTCAGTATTCTTTGTCTCTGGTTATAGGTGTTCTTTGGTGGTGTTAGGCCTTAAGTGGTTAATATCAGAACTTTGTCTCTGGTCTGTGGTTTTGGTTAATTCCAAAATTGGTGGAACTTCATTTGGGGACCAGCACTTGAGCTTTATGGTTGCGCTAAATTACCATTTTGTTGCTGATTCTCTGGGGAAGGCTTTTTGTGCATTTTAATTGTTTGCCTTTTAATCACTTCTGGGTCTTGTGAGGTCAGATCAACCTGGGCTGTGTGGAAATGCTGGCCCAGGACTGATTATTTCCAGCAAATTGAACCCCGTGTAGTTCTATCGCCCTGACCAGTCTCTACTGATTGGGCCTGTGCCCAACTGGAAGGCAGATCAGCTGCCCACTCTGCACCCCAATATCCCCTGGCAGCCCAGCCTCCCTCCTGTACTCTAAAAACTTCCTGTGGGGCTGGCCATGCACAGGTCCCTTGCAATGACTCACTCATCTCTGGGTGGTTCCTTTTCGGCCTCTGGGTAGTTCCTTTCTTTGGTTGGCTGCATCCACTTGCTCTGTGTGGGTCCATGGGAATCCTATCAGTGTTCTCTCTGGCTTGTGGGCTAGTAGGGTGCACTGTAAGGCCATCTTCTCCCCGGCAGACTCCAGGCAACTTCACACAAAGGTCTCAGCTGCAGTGCTTGCTGACTCCTGTTCCACGTATGCTGCAGCTTCTTCCCCATGGCCAGGGCTTGAAATGGTCAGAGCAGTTTCTTCTAACTCATTGTCATTTCTCCTGCCTTCATGAACTCCACAGGTCTCTTCCCCACTTACCCCCAAGATCCATTGGTACCAGGGTGGCAGTCTTTGCTTTTTAATAGTTGGAAATTGGTCTGTTGTGGGGGAGAG